GTTGGGTGTTAATGATATTGATGTATCTTTAAGATGGCAAGGTAAAACCCGATCAAAGCAGAAGACCAGCTCAGGGTGATAAGGCAGCTGACTATTTACACAGCAGCAACAAAAGCTAGCAGAAGAGCATACCTGATTAGAGACCCTGAATAAAGCCAGAACGCATTGTAGGGGCTATAGCTTTATGAAAATGAGTAACCAGAGGAAAAAAATTACCCGCCAGAGACAGACTGTAAAGAAACTTTTTGACTTAGCTTTAGTGGAGGGAGTATAAGTCTGTCTCCTAGAGAAATCATAGCCATGGCTGACCATTGTCAGGTTTGGAGCCTAAATTCACACTATCTGGAATGGTCTGAAAAACCTCTAAGTCTCCTTTGATCCAGCAATCCCATTTCAAAGAACCCTTCCCTAGTTAGATGTAACCAAACAAACAGAAATAACATTATGTACAAGGTTAATCAACATGACCTTGTTTATAACAGAAAAAGAGTGGAAAACAATCCAAGTGCTTAGTAAGAGAACTGGTGGATAAATTTTGGTGCATCCACACAGTGGAGTCCTAGGCAGATATAAAAATAAAGGGGAGAAATCTTGAGGTTGTCTTGTTCAGCAATACAAAGTATAGATTAATATATACATAAAAGAGAGAGATGTCTTTTATGTGAGGGGAATAAACACATGAATATTGTTTATATTTGCAAAAGGAAACATTTGAAGAAAATGAGAAAAATTACAATTGGGGAAGATGGGATGGAAAGCAGTAATGCAGTTTTATATGTAGTTTTTAACCTTTTAACTATTTTAAAAAACTTAATTAAAAATCCCCAAAAGCCAATAGTTAAAAAGTGGATCTAGGTGGGTAGTGCCCCTAAATGCCTGGCCAATATAAATCCTTTCTGGATGAATGTGCCCTTGGCCTAAAGGACAGAAGGGATTGGGATGGAGAAGCCCAGTCACCCAGGGGTCCTGACAGGGCCTGGGTGGTAACCGTACCTTAGAGGCAAAGCGTAGGGAGTTGAGGGACTCAGAGATGTTCTCTTCTAGGGGGGAAATGTTCACAAACATGAGCCTATGGAGAGAGGACAGAGGGCCAAACTCCAGCATTAGTGGCTGCGTGGAGCCTGGATCAGTTCTCCACTGTTTCCTCTTTCCCACCTCTGACTCCAACATTACAGTTCTAACCCCTTGCACCTGTCCCTTTCACTCACATCTTAGCACTGCCACCCAGAGAGTTCTGCAGTAGGTAGGTAAGCTTGCTGTTCCGGTATGGCACGTGGGATTCCTAGAAGGTTGAGGGGACAGGTGATTAGCATAGGACATGGTCAGCCCCGAGTCCCACCTGCTGCAACCCCATTCCCACCTTGTTACTCAAGGCCATGATGACCAGCCCCAGCGTGGACAGGCTGCTGTTAATGGCCTGTGTTTCCCGAAGACGTTCGCGTTCCCCAGGTCCAAGAGCTAAGCCGGGGTCTAGTCGCTCACTCCCGGCCAAGTCCACAAGATTGAGAGGGGCCCCACACTGTAGGCCTCGTCCAGCATGCTCCCCAGAGATCTGCAGCTGGAACACACTGTGGCTGCGTGATGACCGCTCGTTCTGGGCTGTGCGGGCTACAGCTCGGTTTTGGCGGGCAAGATAGAGCAGGGCCTCCACCTAGGAATGGAGAACAAGGGGCAAAGGCAGACAGGAAGTCAGTACATAGCAGCGTCAGGTACGGCAAGGAACAAGAGTCAGCAGCTGCTCTCTTGGAGCCTTCTTTCTAGCCAGTGAAGAGACAACTAAGTAAAATATACAACATTTCTGACAGTACTAAGGAATAAAATAAAACAGAAAAATAAGGACTCCCTGGTTCTATTAAGGCAGATGTACCTTACAGCCCACCAGCCAAAACTGAATACGGCAACCAATCCTCACATTTTACCTTTCCTTCATCCTTCAACTTTTTCCTGCTCCTTTCTCTATCTACTTCCATCTCTGTCATCCTGCCCACTCTTCTCCATTTTCCAGTCCCAGTGCCCATCGGTGCTTACCTCTTTTTCACAGGAGACAGGAACATATCGGGCATTGGTGACAGTAAGCTCCTCACTACCTGGACCTGCCCGGCGAATCTCACATTCACCTCCCTGGGCCTTTCGGGTCCCAGTGGCCAGCAGGTCTCGGACAGTCTCATTGTAGATCTCTACGTAGCTTGCCACAAAGCTATAGGTCCAGCCCTGGCCGCTCAGCTCCTGGGCCACAGAGAACAGGTGCCGCAGGGCCCGAGGGATCAGCCCTTCCTCCTGGGGGTCTGCCCCAGGCCCACCCTCCATTGTGAAGGTCTTGCCACTCCCTGTCTGGCCATAGGCAAAGATGCAAACTGGGTAGCCATCCAATGCTGACTGGACAAGCATGGCAATTTCCTCAAACACTTCGTCCTGTCCACTCCCTGGTGGGAATATCCGGTCAAAAGAGAAGTCATGGCGGGTGGGGGGAGCTGGTGCCCCACTCAGGGTCCCACGTCGCTCATCAGACCGGAAGAGGCTGAGATGGGTTGGAGGATCAGAGGGCCCACCAGGGCCAGAGGGAAACAGGAGGAAGCCAGGGGGTGGGGTGGGCTCCCCTGGAAGGACAGGGCGGACCCGGCAGAACACACGGATGTTGCCTTTGAGCTCCTGTAGCTGGTTGTGTAGTCGCCGGCGTTCCATCTCTAGACCATGAAGACGTTCTCCCCGTTCAGCCAATAAGGCTGCCTGGGCTGCAGCTTCCTGGCGCAGAGATGCCACCTCTGCTTGGCTGCCTGACAGAGCTGCTTCTGATGCCTGCAGCCTCCTCTGCCCAGAACAGAACAGACATAGAGGGCGAAATGCAACCAAGAATAAGAACAAATCATGATGGGGTGGTGGGTAGAGGTGGGGTAGTCCCAGCCTCCAAGGACTTCACAGTCTGGTAAAGAAAGAGATTAAGAAAATAGGAATCATGGTATTAGAAGAAGGAGTGCTATAGGCATATCCACAAATAAGGAAGATGATATCTAGGCTGACACCCCAAAGTACAGGAGCGAACCAAAGGATAGATGGAGTACAGAAAAAAACATTCCACAAAGAGGGAAATGCATATGCAAAATGCCCTGAAACAAGAATTGAGTCATTTGAGAGACTGCAAGTAATTCAGTCTAGCTGGTGCTCACCAAGGAGTGGAATGGACATAAGAAGGAGAATGCATGGGGACTTTTGATCAGGAAAGACAGCAAGAGAGGGGGATGGAGGAGCAGGGGAAACACAGATTAGGGGAAACTATGAAAACAAGAGTCAAGGATAGGGAGAAGTGGGACAGAAAGCTACACATGGGTGGGCTGGGGTGGGAAGGGTAGAGGACAGGGGTGTGCTGCTGGAAAGAGGTGGTCCGGTATTCTAAACCCAAACCTGGAAAGGAGGGTCATTTATGATGAGACACCAGCCCTTACCTCCTGCTCCTCCAGGAGGGTGGCCAGTCTCCTCCGCTCCTCCTGAAATCCTAACTGTTCTTTCTGGAGCTCTTGCACCAAGCCCTCCTGTGTGCCCAGCCGCTCCTCCAGCTCCAAGACATGGGTACTCAGGTTCCCCAGTTCCTGTTGGCTCTGCTCGGCCTGGGCCTGTACCCTGGCCAACTCCCCTTCTAGTGTCCTGCGCTCTATTCCGAGGGCCGTGGCCTGCTGCTGGGCCTCCCGGAGCTGGGACCGTAGCTGTTGATTCTCCTGGTCCAAAGTCTGAGTCTTCTCACGGCAGCATTTCAGCTCTGCATTTAGGTCACATAACTGACCCTTCAAGTCCCAGGCTGGACGTTTGCTGGGTTTCTTCCCTCCCAGCTTGGGAGGAGCAGCTGCTGCTAAGATGGGCAAAGAAAGGACAAAGATAAAAGAGGTATTGATTTTCTCTCTTTCCTCCTTTCTAGCCTTTAGTGCCTCAACACCTGATACTACAACTCCTCCTTCAGACAGGGAAGAGACTAAATGGATTCTTCTGGGTACTCACCACCTCTTCTTCCCTATCCCAGCCTCACCCAATGCTTGTGTTTGTCACCTACTGCCAGGCTTCTGGGCAGGAACAGCAGGGCCTGACTTCTGATTCTTCAACACTAGAGAATTGAGGAGTTGACATAGGAATTATAGCACCAGTATCCTTCTGCCTCCATCATATTCCCTTTATACAATTCCCTTTATACAAATCCCTTCCCAGCCCTAGAACTTAAAGTCTAATTACCCGTGGCGACAGCTGTGGAACATCGGGGTCCTGTCTTCTTGGGAACTTTTGGAGCTGTCAGGAGATGGGAGAGGGGAAAAAGAGTTATCACTCTCAAGAGTGGCAATGTACTCTAGCTGAGCCAGGGACAAAAGAATTGCCTTTTCTGAGGATTAGGAATATGATACCTTTCCTCTTCTCTTAAGACTGGCCGGCTCCTAAAGATATCCTTCCTAGGACTAGAAATTACTGAACATGCCAAGAAACAAGTTGGACCAAGATAAACAAAAAGAGCAGAGGGACAGATGATGTGTAAAGTATGCTATATCTGTGTGAAATAATATTGGGGAACATGTCTATATTTGCTTGAATACCTATAGAATGAATATCTCTGGAAGAACATACAGAGTTGCTCCTGGGAAGGGGAACTGGGTGGCTGGGGACAGAAATAGGAGTGAGACTTTTCAAAAGTATAACAACTTTTGTGCCTTTGGAATTCTGAAACAAGTGAAATGTATTACCTACTCAAAACAAGCTAAAATTGAAAGACAAGAAGAAAGTAAGTTGAAGAGCACTGGTCACTGTCCACCCCTAGAGCCCACCTGAAATCTGGCCTTGTGTCTGAGGCACTGTGGTGAGGGCCGGTGCTCTGGGATGGGACATGACAAATTTGGTTGCTGTGCCTAGGCCGCGTGTCAAAAGTTATCCTCTCTCTCTCTCTCTCTCTCTCTCTCTCTCTCTCTCTCTCACATACACACACACACACACACACGTGTACAATATATAGCTTTCCAAACCCAGTGTACCTTCTTAGGCTCCAAGGCATCCTCCATCTGGTCAGGCCCCCTCTTCAATCTGCTTCCTGGGAGAGGCAGTCGGGAAGGAGCCTTGACCAGGGGTCTCTTCGATTCTATGTTTCCCTTCACTTCCAACAAAGGGGACCTCTGTTGGGAAAAGAGAGACACTTAAGACAACACCCTGGAGCCCAAATGTCCAAAGAACTCCCCTTTTGGGTCCCCTAGCCTAATTCTCAATATCACCACCAACAAGCATTAATGAGTACCTCTTGTGCCACAGATCATGTGCCAGCCAAAAAGCATGGAGAGAACTGGGACACAATGCAAAAGTGGAAGCAATCTCTAAGGGAGAAGTTGGATGGACATTGGACTTCAGCTAACTCTAGGGGTACTACTTAAACAAGCAGAGAGAAATGGGCGCTCCTTTTAGAAGGCAGAAACTCAAACACACACATGGTATGGCTGTGAAACCAATAGGCTCTTTTAGCTAGAGCTGAGAATAACAAAGGAGTGGAAGATAGGTAAGGCTGAAGACTGGGCTGGAGGAGCAGGTAACATTAGAAACTGTTTTAAATGCTTTACCTGTATCAATTTAATCCTCACAGCAGCCCAGAAGAGGTGCTATGTTAGCTTCATTTTGCAGAGGAGGGAAAAGAAGGTACTGAGAGATAAAAATAGCTTGTTGAAGATCATCGGTCAGTAAAAGGCGAAGCCAGGGTTAGAATCTAGACAGTCTGTTCTGGAAGCTACGTTTTTCATCACTAGACCACACTGCCTAGTAGGGCTTTGATGCCAAGCTCAAGAGTTTAGGCCTTAGCCCTGCATACATGGAGAGCCAGACAGTTTCTGATTAGGCATGTAAAAAATATGCAAAAGAGCCTATTATAAAGAATAAGTTGTAAGCAGGCTGACTTGCATGGGGAAGACTAGGAAGTAGCATGACCACTTAGGAGATCATTGAAGTAGAGGCATGAGGTGGGGGCAGTGCAATTCAGTGCCTGGGGATTATGCCCACCTCATGGTTATCAATCATTCAGGTTTGAGCAGAACTAAGGGGTTTCTTAGGACAGAGGAATTTCAGGTCATTCCCATGCAAACTAAGACAATTAAGTCATCCTACTCCTATCCTACCATCAGGAAAGCACCATGTATAGGTCAACTTCTGATTTTCACTATAGGTAACTTTTAATTTCCAGACCAGTCTCTCTTAGCCCCTCAGTTTACTTCATTCATTCAATGTCTACTAAGTGCCTGTTATGTGCCAGGAAATGATCAGGGTTCTGGAGTAACAGGCATAGTCTGTGCTCTCAAGACGCTCACAGGACAGTGGGGAACAGAAGCACTGAAAGAGATGTTAAAACTTAAGTGCTATAATAAAAGGATCCCAGAGGAAGGGGTGGGCATCTTGTTGAGATGGGGAGAGTGTCAGAGAACACTTCTTAAAAAGTATTTTTAGGCCAAGACTTGATGACGAGAAAGAGTTGGCTTGATGGGTTTGGGCCAAGAGCATTCCAGGCAAAAAGCAAAGAAGAGTGCATTCAAGGAATGACAAATTGTTCTGTTCAGCTAAACACAGGGAATTGCATAGAAAGTGGAGAGATGAGAACAGAGGCAGAAGGGAAAAGATTGTGGCTGTTGGTATGCCATGATAAGAGTCTGTGGAGTTTACCGAAGGCAAGAGGGATCTTGATGACTTTTAGTCAGTTGAATAATATGAATGGATTTGTACTGAAAAAGTAAACTGTGAGTAATGTGAAGAATGAATAGAAGTAGAAGATGAAGGGTAGCGAAGGCAGAGAGCCTGCATCATTCCTTCATTTAACCATTCAATAAGGAATTTTTATACTAAGATTTGTTGAAAGACTGCTCTGTACTGGACGTTATTCTAGGTATTTGAAAGTAATGAACATAAATCCCTGCCTTTTCAGAGCTTACTTTCTAAAGCAGCATTTCTAAACTGGGGTACCACAAGATAACTAAGCTCTACAGAAAACAATTTTCTCAATTCTCCCATGGATGTATATAGCTCTTAACATTCTAGGTGCTTAAGAGAGAAGTTAATTCACTAACTAGAAAGGATGCTTTGAAGCATTAGAGTTTAATTCCTATGGAACTCAGTTGAGAGGGGCTATTCTAAGAGTTTAAGGGCTAAGTAAAAATCCATCTGAGAGAAGGCCGAATTACATGAGACCAAGCTCAGTAGTCCACTCCTGCTCCAAGATCCCCTACCCTTACACACCCTACCACCAGCCCTGGGGAACACCTCCAAGACCCCAAGTGGATGCCTGAAACTGGACAGTATCAAACCCTTACATATACTATGTTTTTTCCTATACATACATACCTATGATAAAGTTTAATTTAGAGATTAACAACCATAATTAATAGAACAATTTTAACAACATAATGTAATAAAAGTTATGTGAATGGTTTTGGGGTCATTATTAAGTAAAATAAGGGTTACTTGAACACAAACACTGCGATACTGTAACAGTCGATCTGAAAACCGAGATGGTTACCAAGTGACTAACAGCCAGGTAGCATATACAGTGTAGATACACTGAACAAAGGGTTGATTCATGTCCCAGGCTGGACAGAACAGGTAGGCATGAAAAGATTGGTATACAATTTAAAAGTCATAAATTTCTGGAATTTTCCATTTAATATTTTTGGACCACAGTTGACCATGAGTAACTGAAACCACAGAAAGCAAAACCTCAGATAAGGGGGACCACTGTATAGACCTAACTGGGAGCTGATAGGGAGATGGAGGAGTCCAGGCTGACTTCAAGGAGCCTGACATAGTTCTCTTAATCAGGATCACAAGAGGAAGAGCTAGTTCTGTTTCCTTTTGTTTTCTAACTAAACTTTTCACGTCAAAATGATTGTAGATTCACATGCAGTTGTAAGAAATAATATGGAGAGATCTGAGAGTACCTGAAGGGCTAGTTTGGGAAGCTTGGCTTTGGGCAAGTGAGTCTGAGCTACCTGTGATACAGAGACATATTTAAGGATGTTCACAGAGCATCACTACAGAGAAAACTGAAACAACTTGATACCCTGGCATCTGAAATTTTAATTCGATTTGTTGGAAAGAAAGGAAGTGGCATTTTTTTCCCCCTGCCACCTGCAGCAATGTGCACAAAGAATGCTTATTTTAATTTTGTTTAATCAGATGTAGTATGAAAACCAAATTTTTAAGTATTCTGAGATCAAATACTGATTTTTTTTAATAACGTGCCCTTCATTCGCTCTACACTACCATAGTGGATCTATTGAAAACTTACCTCTCTGGAATGTGGGGGTTCAGAAAATGTGTTCTAACGTTTATTCAGGGCAATTCCAAAGAGTACAGTATTTATTTTTTTCCCCATCTATAAAGCTAGACACGATGACTTCCAACTTTCCACAATCAGCTAAGGGCTTAACCTACATAAACAGATATTCATCCAACCCCTTCTATACCTACTTCCCTGCTCCTAAGGCAACTTTTCCACATGTGCATCAGATCCCACCTCCTCACCTATTCAGCAACTCTTCCTTCTCTCTACACCGCCAATTTTTCACTCTCTACTGGATCATTCCAATTAGTATACTACACATGCTATTATTTCTTCCAACCTAAAAGGGTTTTCTGACCCATTTTCTTTGTTGCCCTATGCAGCAAAACTCCTCAAAACTGCTGCCTACATCGTATTCACTGTGTCCAATTTCTCTCCTAAATCCATCCCAATCAGGCTTTCGCTCGGGGGCGCACCGACCTTCGCCCTCCCGGCAGGCTGGAACAAGGGCAGCCGGGAGCCGAGGGCTTGTGAGCATCGGGGGCTGCAGGCCGTCGTCCCCGCTCCCCGGGGCAGAAGACCCGCACCGGCGCCTACTCACTTGCGGCTCCATGTCCAGCTCCGTGCCACACGTGCCGGGGTGGGGGGGTGCGCAATGGATGAGGACCGGGAGCCGGGACTCCCCAGACCCGCGTTCTCTCGCCCGCTCGCAACACAGCACCAGCGCTCTAGGTTCCGGAGGCCACCAACACGACGCCACACCCGCCACTTTTGAATTCCAACGGCTGCCACCCCACTCACCTCGCTCCGCACTCGGGGACCAATAGTCGCCGTCGCCACAACCGAGGGCCAATCGCAGTGCCCTCCGCCTCTCGAGGCCACACCCCGCCCAGCTGGCGCCTTCTCTTTCCAGCTTCGCCGGCGTCCCGGAGGCAGGCCGGTTAGTCACACTTCCTCTGTCACCCACCCCTCCTTAGCAGTAGTCCGCTGAACTTCCGCTCGGCTCTCGACGCCGCGCGCTACGTCAGAAGATCTCTCAACACGCCACATAGACGTAACTGTAGTGGGGGCGGGTCGCTGGAGGAAAGGAATCACGCGTGCGCAAACTAGGACACGGGCCGGGCGAGGGACGGTACGGGCGCCCCCTAGCGTCTACAGTAGGGCGCGCACCCGTTAGCCCCGACCGGATTGCGGCGTCTCTCCGCCGAGTTTAACTGGCCCGGAAGTGGGAACTGGCGCCCTCATGCGGATAAGAGAGTGGCCGCATCTCCCAGGTCATTTTGGCATATCTCACCAAATTTAGGGACCTTGGTTGCAGGTTGGCGCTCCATGGCATTCCGACAATGGGGATTCGAGGCTCAGGGGAGGAGAATTTTTCTCTGTAGCCTCTTCCCCACCATACCTCCGCCATACCTGGGCGCCGTTATTGATGCTGGAGAACTGGTTTGGGACCTTTGAAGTCTCGAACCTACAGAGAATTTGCTGCTTCCATTTGTGGAGTGTTTTATATTTTTCGCGCTATCTGCATATGCATTATCTCAGTTTAATAATCAATAAATTCACTGAGCTCTTACTATATGTCAAGTGCTTCGCATGTCTTATCTGCAAGCTAGATGAAGGTTAAGAAAGGTTAAGTATGTTAACCTATAAAAAAGACCGGTTGAAGAAGCAAAGCATCTATTTGGACTATAAGAATTGCAATTCTGGAAGTAGAGATTCAGGCATAAATCCAAGTAGTGTCTTAATTACAGGGTGAAAGCAAGAGTTTTTATGAGAGAAAAGCAGTAATTACATGAAAAGAAAAAAAATCCTATTGATGCTGACAAGCTGAGCTACTCTTGGCTGTACACAAGGAGTTACTAATTTTATCTTCAGATAAAAGGTCTGTAGCCATCA